CCAGTAAGCTGCTTGCGTTCAGATCCTAGTCTCGGGGTCCGCTTTTGAAAGGCCCAAGGCAGGGAGCTTCCCTGATGGCCTCCAGGACCCCTCCCCATCCGTCTCTCTTTGGTGAGACACCGTCCGTTCCCATCATCCTAAGCACTTTGTGGGGACTTTCTACACCTCTTTTGGATCCAACAGGGAAAGTGGAAATACACCTGTTTTCCCTCTCCGAGGGAACTTAACCACACGTAGGGCAGCCGACCTCCTTCCAGAAGCACGCTGCCCATTTGTGGAATCAAGTCTGCTCGGATACAGCCTCTCATCTGGCTTTTCTCTTTATTTCTACTCTGTACACAGATCTAGCTCAGTTTTTATTGTAAGCAGCTTCAGATCCTTTCTGGAAGTAGGTGGGGATATAAATAAATAACAGCAGCCATAACACATTCTCGGCAAGCTCTTAGTTCCGAGTTGAGCTTTTTTTTTTTTTTTTTTTTTTTTTTTTTTTTTTTTTTTATAAAGAGCTTTTTTTAGACAGGCAGTTGCTTCCACTGCGAGGAAACTTCCTGCCATCTTCACTAGCCTGGCATCCCTGTCAGATGCCTTTGGAATAAGTGGGCAGAGAGGAATTAAAAAGGCAGCTAGCCACCCACCGACAGACCTTTGAAAGAGTAGTTCCTTTTTCTTCTCGAATTAGGGTAGATTTGGGACAAATGGTCAGGCCCGAGGAGGCAGCAGAAATGGGTGGGGAGGCAGGAACATAGGTCCCCCCACCCCCGCCCTCCACACCCGGCCCGGGCAGGGCTCTGACCTCCAAGCTTCAGAACCAGTCTCCTTGGGAAGATTCCTAACCAGTGACCACCCCTCCAAAAACCAGGAGGAGCGGGAGGGGGATCCCAAGGGAAAGGTGGAAAACAGGGCAGGGGCTATTTATAGAGGAGTCTCCAAAACAGAATGAAGAAGCAAACCAGAGGAAGCATCCTAGCTCTGAGGAGATTCCCTCTGTTTCCATGGGTCCAACTCCAGCAACTGTGTCATTTGGGTTTTCGGGCTTCGTAGACCTACGGTCTTGCCTGTGCATGATCCACCAGAGGAGCCTCGGCCCCCTCCTCTGCAGAATCGGATTTGCACGGTGCCCGCCTCACGGGAGTGCTGGGAAGGCTAGTGAAACAGCTGCTCTAGAGCACCCAGTGCACGTTCTGGCGGAGAGAGGTGTGAAACGGGCATGTCTCCTCTGGATCGGGTGATGAACGCCGTGTGGAAATAA